AACAAGCATCTCAGCACTAGCAGGGGTCTCCACACGGCTGCTCCAGCACCCAGGGCTGCATCAGGATAGGTCCATGTGGCTTCTCCATGGGGATGTCTTGTAGGAAGTCATTCTTCCAAGCTGAAGCAGGGAACTGCTAAGGCAACTGCACCCGATGCGACCATCACAAAGCAAGAGACCCGAGCACTAGAAAGGCAAGGTTCACCACCCATTTATCCCTCCTCCTTTCAATTAGCCCCACATGTGATTATCGGCCAGGTTGGCACAATTAACTAACTCAGGATACATCAGCAGGCAGCTGCCAGAGATTCAGGACAGATTCAGAAGAGGGTGTGGACACGGGATATAACTCTGTCAGAGCAGAGAATACCAGGGAGATGTTTGCCTGTTTCATTGCCTGTGCGAGGGCATTCCACTGTGTGGATCGCGACAAACTGCTGGTACCATGGTGAAGACTTAGGGATTCCAGCACACGCCACTGTACTCATGTGGGACCTGTGCATGGGTCAAGAGGCAATTTTGCCAACAGGACAAAGGAATCCTACATGGTTTAAAGTCTAGAAAGGTGTGTGTCAGGGTTGTGTCCTCTCCCCATCCTAGCCAATCTGTGTGCTGAGCAGATAATCTAAGAAACGGGGCTGTAAGAATGCCACACCAGGATGGGAGGAAAGCTCGTGAACAACCTGCCACACACAACTCACACACCTTGCTTGCTGAAAGTGAGCCAGACCGGAAGCACACGCCGATGACAATCCGTAGTCAAGGGTAGATGACGCCTCCACGTAAGGAAACACAAACCCGCACAGCTCGCCCATAGACATGACGATGCAGAAGAGATGGAAGGAGTTGCGGGTGTCCTGTGACGGGGCCACAGTCGACATCCATGCTGCGGCGACCTGATGCCCGAGACCTCTTTAGAGAGAAGACATGGAACGTTGAGGTCTGCGGTGCGCTGAGCCCAGCCACGGTGTGTCAGCCACCGTGAGTGCTGGCTGAAGCTTGCCGAGGAAGGTGGGCAGTTGAAGGGTCACGATGCGTTTGAATTGGGTGTGGGTGAAGGACATTGCAGTTACGGGACATGGCCAGAAGAGCAAATGGATCTTGGAAGGCCCACAGGCAAAATGCTCCTTAGAATCTAGGACGGGGAGACTTTGTCTCACAAACTTCCGGCTGCTGTCAGGAGAGACCAGTTCCTGGAGAAGGACAGTGGGGGGGACCCTCGAGAAAGACTGACGCTGAGGCCGCAGCAGTGTGGGGATGTGCAGTCACCTCGCGTTTGGGCCGAATCGGGCCTAGCAACCAGAACCCTTCCACATGTCTCCCACGGAGGAAGCGAACCACTGACCTGGCAGATAGCAGCCACACGCTCAGCCAGTGCACCAAGACTCCCAGGGACGCCCAGGATTGCTTTAGGTTTATTCTGATTTGACGAAGCGTGGCCAGCCCCAAAGCCAGGCGTGGGAGCATCGAATGAGGGTCATCACAAATGAGGCCAGTGAACCACAGGCAGAGGACCCAGATCAGGAATCCCGGCGGAATGGGATTCCATCTGGTGGTGCAGCTCAGAGGAGCAGGTTTCAGCCTGAACGTGACCCTGGAGGGCCCCTGCAGAGGATGGGCTGATGTGCATGGGGGAGCCTGGGGCCTGCTGGGCCTCAGTGCTAGTGAGGTACGCCCCACCCCCCCAACCTCAGCAGGAGGCTGAAACTGCGTAGCCCCCAGAGGCAGGCCCTGCAGGCGGCTCAGCATGAAAACTCAATGTGCCCCTCTGCCCACGGCCTGACCTCGGCTGCTCTGTAGACCTGGACTCGGCTTCCCGGGTTGTCCGCACCTGCGCGCGCAGGTGGTGTCAGCTGCCGGCCAGTCTTGTCCTCCTGTGGTGACCGTGACTTCTCAGGCTTCCTAGCACACTCACTTCCCCAGAGCCACCTGGCGGGGGAGGGGCCCTCATGACCTCAGCCCCTCTCCCCTAGTTAGCCTCCCTTTCCTCGCCCTCCCCCCAGGGCCCTGCTGCCGGGAAGGAGGTATACCATCCGTGTGGTCACCCTCAGTGGGCTCGGACCGGGAGAGCACCCCACCGAGAGTGTGCCCACCGCCCCAATGTCCGTGTGGACCCGTGAGTACAGTGCCTGGACTCTGGCCCCTGCCAGCAGCCCTCAGTATGCCCAGTGCGGCCATGTTAGAAACATGCCCTGGGCGGAGGGCACCCCAGAGGGCAGTGCAGGCCATGGCCCCGGCCACTCTGGAGACAGTGGGGGTACGGTGCTGGGAAGCCCATCTGGGGCAGCCTTCTGCCTGGGCTTACGCCAGCACCCCACTACTGTGGCTCTCCCAGGAGGCCTTCTGATTGGTGACCACTGAGAGAGTCCCAGGACACCCACAGCCCGCCCTGAGGGAGCTCCACAGGGCCTGAGGTGGGGGAGACCCACCCTGCCTGCCTGCCCTGCCCTTCCAGCCCAGCCCACCTGCCACCAGCACACAGGGAGGGGTGCAGAAGGGGTTTTTCTGACAAGGGCACTGTCCCTTGTGGTCACCAGGTATGGCTCATCTGGAGGAGGTGTGGGGCCAGCCCAGGGCCAGGGTGTCAACCCAGACTGCAAAGCCGGGGACCCCAGGACCAGCCTATGTAGCCCACCCTCCAGCTATGGGGGGGTGGGCAGACTGGACACCACGAAGGCTCCCAGACCAGAGGGTGTCCTCTGGGGCTAACAGCCCCACCAGGTGCCCGTCAGCACGAGCAGGCTGGTGTGTGGGCCCATGTCTCCTGGGCTAGGCACTGAGTCAGGTCTGGAAGGTGTGAAGCCTGGTCCCCGAGGTCCCAACTGCCCCTGCCCCTCCCCTCCCGCTGTGCCTTGTACAGGGCCCTTGCCTCCTGCAAATCTGACCGCCGCCAGGGTCACCGCCACCTCCGCCCACGTGGTCTGGGACGCCCCTGCTCCAGGCTCCGCTCTGGAGGCCTATGTCATCAACGTCACCACCAGCCAGAGCACCAAGAGCCGCTACGTCCCCAACGGGAAGCTGGTGTCGTACGTGGTCCGAGACCTGGCACCAGGGCGGCGGTACCAGCTCTCCGTGTCTGTGGTGCAGGGCACAGAGCAGGGCCAGGTGCACAGCGAACCTGCCCACCTCTACATCATCACCTGTACGGGCCGTACCTCCACAAGGGCAGGGGGCTAGGCGGCGGGACTGGGGCTATTCCAGCTGGCCTGCATGGAGCTGGGGGACGGGGCAGCGGGGAGCATGCTGGTGCTGGGTCCAGGGGACAGGGGTCCAGAGAGGGGTCCCTGGGGACAGAGATCCCTAGAGGGCATGTGGGTCCATCCCTGAGCTGTTGCCCTCCCCCTGTGCCCCAGTAGCCTGCCGGACAGCAGGTACTGTCAGTGTGGTCAGGCCGCTCCCTTCCCTGGCTTCTGAGACAGGGCAGAGCTTCCAGCATGCAGGGCTCTGAATCTTGGGACAAGGGGTGAGCGTGGGGACCCAGGCGAGGGAGCCTGCACTGAGCGTGTGTGCTATAGCCACATGGCCAACCCCTGAGGGCCCAGGACAGGCCACATGTCCAGCTCTGCCAGGCGCATGCCTGATCAGGGCCCAGAGGGACCAGGCCCACATGAAGGCCAGTGACCATGAAGGAACATGGCGGGTGTGTGGGGATAGCTGCAGGGCTCCCCTGAAAGCTGCAGCTGCCCTCCCTGCACACACAGTGGCATGGCTGCAGAGAGGGACCCAGGGACGTATGGCAGCCTGCAGACACTTTCCTCTCCTACCCGCAGCCCAGCGAGACAGCAGCGATAGACACTGGTCCCAGGGGGGCTACTCCCGGGCGCTCAGAAACAGGCCACCCCCGGCACACCTGTCAGAGCTGCGCCTACTCAGCGACCAAGATGCCCCTGAGACTCCAACCCAGCCCCCCAGGTACAGACCAGCCACCTGCCCGCCCCTAGGCAGCTAGGCAGGAAGCTCAGGCTCGGTGGCCCATCCTGCAGGTTCTCCGAGCTGGTGGATGGCCGAGGACGTGTGAGTGCCCGGTTCGGAGGCCCACCCAGCAAGTCCGTCACCGTGAGACCACGTGAGTGTACCCCCACCTGGGTGTGGGCCACATCACCCTCCCCCCGTGGTAAAGGGGACAGGACCCGGCCAGCCGGGAGGCACCTGGCCCCAGACATAGCAGGCCGCCCGAGATTGGATGAAGCACAGGATGCCCTAGGAGAGGCTCCAGGCGACCTGGCTGCAAGTGACATGCGGGCTCACAGTGAGGAGTGCAAGCTGCTTGGCAGCAGTAGGGCAGCCTCGTTCTTCAAAGTGGGGTTTGTGGAGGGCTGGGGTGCCAGGCCAGTGGCCCTTGCTGTGTCCTGAGAGGTGAATGTCCATTTTGAAGGCTGAGCCTGGGCAGGGCCTGCTGGGCAGAGGGAGTGGAAGCTGTGGCCCAGCAGGGTTGGAGTGGAGTGGGGGAAGGCAGCAGGTGACAGGCTGGAAATGTAGGGACAGCCTCTGGCTGGTCATTGGAGTGGGAGGGCCAGGACCAGGCTGGGCAGGTTAGACCCTCGGGGGCAGCCCGTGACCCCTCATGGCCCAATTGCTCCTAGATTCCACGGCCCCCATGCAGCTGGAGACCCCAGTGGAAGCCCCTGAGCCTGACACCCTGGCCCTGCAGCTGCCGGAGCTTGGTGACAAGGAGAGTGAGCGTGAGTCCGGGTGGACTTGAGCTCCAGACGCCACCCTCCGCCCCACTGACCAGCAAGGGCAAAGTTGGGAGACCCAGTCACACTGACAGCGCCAGCCCCTGCTCGTCCCTGGCCCGCTGCCAGGACGCAGTGCCACCGAGGGCCTCTGAGTATCTGCGGGCACACAGCCATGGCACAGGGGCCTGAAGCTCAGCCCGCCCTCCTGCAGGTGGCGCAGCACAGAGCGCTATGAGCCCCCAGGATGAGGGATGTCAGCAGGACAGGTGGGGAGGGACCCAGAGGCCTGGAGCACCGGTGATAGGCGGGGACGTGTGGGCCCGCATCAGGCTGGGCCAGGTGTACAAGGTGCTGAGAGCGGCAGGTCCTAGCACCCCAAGCCTGACCCCTAGGGCCTCCAGGGCTGCAGTCCACACAGAGGCACACTGCCTGGACTTTCTCATGAGGGGCCGTGCGTGGGGTCACCCCTCGGACGGTTTCGGTAATGGCTGAGCGAGCATTGAAACTACAGCACCACCGTCCACTACTCAAGTGGCGCTCCTCAGGAGAAAGGCGGCTTTCTGCTCCTGTGAGAGTGATGGTGTGGGTGGTCCCAGGGGGCAGGTCTGCCCGTCTGGTGGCTGCGTGGGGACCTGCGGGCTGCCTTGCAGGGTGGGCTCGCCCCGGAGGAGGGGCAGTCTGGGCTCTGGGGAGAGCTCTGCGTCTGTGCTTGTCACCCGGCTCCTCAGGGCGGTGCTGAGGAGGAGGCCGGGTGCACAGCAAGGGCGTAGGGATGGAGGGGGGACAGTCTTTCATCTGTTTCCCAGGATTTTAAAGGAATTCAGCCAGAAGCGAGGCAGGGCAGACCCTAGGGGAGTCCCCAGCCCTTTGCCCCAACTCCACTTCTGGCTGCCCCGCCTCCTTGCCCCCTCAGTGTGGGACAGGAGCCACTGGGGTGGGCTGTGAGAGGCGGGGCAGCCCAGCTCTGGAGGGCTGCAGGGGTCACCGTGGGAAAGAAGGGGGCTCAAAGCTGCTGCTCACTCAACTGACTGAACCCCCTCCATCCATGGCTGTGCCCAGAAGGCTCCAGGGACTGCTTAGAAAACCCCTGTCAGAATGGGGGCACCTGCGTGCCCACCGCCGACACCCACAGTTGCACCTGCAGCCCGGGCTTCAAAGGGCGGCGCTGTGAGCTTGGTGAGTGCAGCCCCCCCCCCCCCACACACACCCTGGTCCCGGGGCCTGGGCAGGTGACCGTGACCAGGACGGGCCTGCCTAAGCCAGCCCTCCTCCCCACTGCCACAGCCTGCACAAAGGTGCCCCGACCCTGCACGCGCCTGTTCTCCGAGACAAAGTCCATCCCCGTCTGGGAAGGAGGCATCTGTCACCACGTGTAAGTTAAGGCTCACCGCTGGGGCAAGGGGCTGGCGTTCTGCCCACGCTGAGCAGTCAGGCTGGGGAGAGGCTTTGGCCAGCCCACCCTGACCTTCCTTCCCTGCACCCCGAGCAGCAGCTGCATGAAGCCCCCCACCAGGGCCCAGTGCACACAGGCCCAGAGAGAGGGCCCCCACCTCTGTCCTCACTCTGCACCTCAGCTTCCCCCACCTATAAAAGGGGCTGCTGGGAGCAATCACCTGCTGGAGGAGGACCTCTCTCCTTACTGCTCGGTGGTGGTGGGGAGCACACACTGGGGCTCCATGGTGTCCGGATCTCATTCCACATGCCTGGGCTCCTCAGGGCCACAGCCAGCAAGGCCCTGCCCGTGAAGTACTGGCACACAGGAAGTGCCCGCTACCAGCGAGTCGGGCCCAGCCCATGGCACCCTGCACTGATAGGTTTCTAAGGCTGTGTGTCGCCACCAGAAGAGCCAGCCTCGTCTTTCTCCAGAGGAGTGGCTGGTGGTTTGAGCCTTGGGTCAGCAGTCCAGCACTGAGCCTGAGGCACCGCAGGGAGGATCCTGAGAAGGGGGCAGGTGCACCGAGACCAGCTGTGCAGGCTGGGGTGTGCAGCCAGGAAGTCTGCTGCGACAAAGGTGGGGTGGTCAGAGTTCGCCCCCTGGAAGAGGTGACATCCCAGAGCTAGGGGAGGGCTCTCTGAGGGAAGAGCACCCCAGAGGGAGCCTGCGGGCACAGCTGAGGAAGGCCCGGTGGCTGGTGCAGTGTGACGCTCAAGGTGGAAGCTACACAGGGCATGCAGACCTCGGGCCTCAGCTTTGTCCTCTGTGACACGGAAGCTGCAATGCGTTCTGCGTAGAGGGGCATTGCGTCTGAACACCCCCACCCACCCCACCCCCGGCTGCCCTCGGAGAGAGCAGGGGAGACAGCTCCGTTTGAAAGCAGGCTTCACATGTAGTGGCCTACATCAGAGGAGCTAGTTTGCACTGGGGCTTGGGAATCTGAATTTGGATTCTATGGGAGGGAAGCCAGTGTCCACACTACTCAGATTGTTCAGCAAGGACAGCCAACCACTTAGCGAACGTTCCCGCCCTTGGCCTTTAACCTGCCTGCATTTCCAAGGCCCCTCTGCGTGTGGCTGGTTCTGTTTCGTGTCCAGGCTGACTGAGCCTCTCCTTTACGTTCCGTGCGTGCAGTGGGCTCTACTTACCCCAGCCAGCTTGCTCGTCGTTTCTCTTGGTCCAGTCTGCTTTTTCCTGCTTCTTCCCGTTAGTCGTTCCCAGTATTCCGCTTTACCTCCACTACTGCTTCGTGGTTATGCTGTTTCAGTTTGTATGTTCAGGGTGGAGGTTGGCTCCAGGTTTCTAATATGCCTGCAGTGACTACTGCACAGCTGCAGAGTACTTTTTAATAAAAAGTCGGACTTTTTACTGCCACGTGCACCAGGAGCTGCATGATGTGAATGTTTCCTCTGAACGGACAACCACCTCTTGAAATGGTTTTGAAAACGAGAGTCTTCTTAAGCGCTCCTTTGTGCTGCTCGAGTTTCCTAACGATTAACTACACGGTTCTGTAGCCACCAGGGAGCGGCAGTGGAGGGGGACGTATCCGACCTCCTCTGGCTTCACCAATGGCACCCGCCTTCTCTGCTGGGGTCCAGGCCCATGGCAGTGGCTGCACGGCTTCGCAGACGGTGCTCACGGTGAGGAGGCTTTCTGGAGACATCAGGGGGCTACAAGTCAAGATCAGTGAGGCTACAGTCACTGGGCTCTAAGCAGCCATGTCCTCTCTAGTCCTCAGTCTCCGCCATGTAGTTCTCTGTCTTTGCCTCCCTGGACCAGGAAACCAGCCCACTTGTCGCTCTGGCCCACGGTCCAGCCCATAGTCTCATCGCTGCTCCTCAGGGCCTCTGGTCCAGTCTTCAGGGCATCTGGTCCCCGTGTTCTCTGACACCTCAGAGAGGTGGTGGACGTGCTTGCCAGGCAGCCCAGTGGCTTCTCTGTGCCCCGGTGGCTCTCGTACGCCGAGGAATGACTTTGCTCTGGTTGGCTCTTTTAGCTGACCATACCCTCAGGAAGATGAAGGGTGGTGTCCCACCCTCTACTAGTCTTAAAGACCTCGTTTCCCGCCAAGGAAAAGGTCGGATGTCACCCTACCTCAGTCCTGTAACAGAGAACACATGCTCTCCAGCCACAGGCACAGAGCCAGAATCACAGTAGCACATCCCATGAGGAATTGTGGCTAGAAGGACCATGTTCATTGGCGGTGTCTCCGCAGTGAGTTCTACTTTTGTTCATTGGAGACAGGATGTTTCTACTTCAGCTGCATTTTCTGAAAGCTGCAATTACTGGGTACAGGATTCCTGGTTGAAAGTATGTCCGTTCTTTATATCGGTGATGGCGTCCTTTATCGTCTGGCTCAGTCTCAACCATGGCACCTACAGCCATCCGACGTTTCACCATGTGGGACGTCTCGGCCCCAGCCCAAGAGTGCTTCCATGTTTTCTCTTGAACACGTTTGAGCATGTTACTTAGGATGTGCCTTAGTATGTATGGGTGCATGTGTGCTATTCTGTTTGGGGTTGTGTCTTGTTTCTGGGTTTATCATTTATCAACTTTAAATAAGCCTTTTCCCCTCTCCCTCCACTCTGTTCTCCTGCCGGGACTCCAGCCACCCGTGCGTTAGTTAGCTCGCTGCCGTCTCTGGAGTCAGGCGGCTCTGCTCACCCTTTCCTCTCTGCACCTCCCTCTGCATAGAGGCCACGGTTGTGCCTTCTAGACGGGTCTGCTGGGCTCATCCACCACTGGTCCCACTCCACCCCATGTTCACTTCAGACTGACTTCTGTCGACTCGAGGAGTTCGTTACTTCTTGCTTCGAGCTTCCATTTCTCATTTCATTATGTTTATATTTTCCTTGAGATCTTTGAACATATTGGAGCAAGTTCATAACAGATGCTTTTAAGGACCTTGTCTGCTAATTCCCTTGTCACTACCATTTGGGGGTCTTTTGCAATTCTTTTTTCTTTCGCGGTTCACATTTTCCTGCTTTCCCATCGTGCGATGCACATCTTGCAGGTTCTAGACATGAGGTGCTGGGCACTGGATCGTATGTTCCTGTGCCCTGGATTTCTGGACGGGGATGTTCGTCCCCAGATAAAGGTCTTCTTTCTCTGAGGCAGCCGTGGCCCTTTGAGGCGTGTTTTGAGGTGGCGGTAGTCGCCTCTAAACAAGCTGACCGCCACTTGGGTTTGTGGCTGGTGCAGCTTACAGCGCCTTCCCCCACCCCGCCCCATGTTGTGGTGTCGAGATCCCAGGGTGCCCGACCTAGCCCCTCCTCTGCTGTCTCCACTCCACCAAGGGGACACTTCTTCTCTCCCTCAGGGCTCCCGTCCCCTCAACTCGCTCTGACCACTGCCCGAATTCCGCTCCCGGTGGTCTCAAAACCCCACCAGGGGTCCTCCAGGGTCCCATAAGTTGGAGTTGACTCCGGTGCAGTGAGTTATGAGTTAGGCTTCCCGGCTGCAAGGCTGCAGGGCGGTCCCAGAGCCAGCCTCACTGGCTTGCTGTCTCTCGGGGACCGCGCTGCCACACTGTCTGCTGTCCGACAGCTGGCGAGTCACTGCCCACACTGTGCCCAGCCCGCTGGGTTTCTGCTCACACGTGGGAACACCCCCGCTCCTCACTTCCCTCTGCACTGCCCGGAGAGGGAAGGCAACGGGGCTGTGTCCCCAGGACCGAGGGCCACATGCTGCCGCGAGTAAGACCAGCGGTTAACTTCCTGTTTTCCCATTTCACGGCTTTTCAAAAGCTTGGTGGCGTGTATATTTCACCCACGCTCCACCTCGGGGAAGAGGTCTCGGTGACACAACAGTCAAGGCCCCACAGCTCACCAAAAGGCTGGCCATGTGGGACCACTAGGGCTTCGTGACAGAACAGCGATTGCTGCCATGGGAAACCCCACCTGGCAGGTCCACAGCGACCTGAGGGACCCCTATGAATGGAGCTTAATACCAACAGGACTTTTAAAAACCTCAGTAAAGTCCTTTTTTTTTAAAGTGGCATGACCTCTACATTGGTCACTTTCTAAATCCACAGCTAACGTTTTACTAAGAAATAATGGCCTTGCTCCCAGGCACCACAGTCCTGCCTAACTTGGGGTTCGCGTGGCGTGTGGGCACAGCATTCACAAAGCTCTTGTGGCAACAGGTACAAGCGAGTCTACAGAGCCCACCAGGACGTGTGCTTCCAGGAGAGCTGCGAGAGCACAGGCGCCAAGAAGACCCCCAGCAGGTGCTGCC